CTATGATACAGACTAATACCTAGCAATCTCTTTCCAAACCAATGTTTGTACATATATTCGAAATATCGTTACAATTTTAACAAATCATTTCCATCGAAGACTATCAAACACAAAATTTGATACGATCTCGAAAAGACCGATCTGAAAAACCTTTTACAATTACATGACCATCGTCTCGATGAATACTGAGCTCACGAAATCTTTCTCTTGTAACATCCTGTATACATCTAATTTATACCTCTTCAGCTTCGAGAGAATAGCATTATGTAACCGAAATATGGAAAGATGTGTCTTCGATCACGATGAGCAATGTTCTTTACTGCTGTTTTAGCTAGTTGTGACGATCCTATTGATATCACTGATAATCTCTCAAAAACGTCGAAACGTATCGAACCGCGACAATCTTTACACTTTCTTCTTTCTTTCACTCGGGACCATGATGGACGATACCGCGTGGTGTACAGCGAAATAACTCACCATGTTAATAAATATATTATATTGTTCTACGAAACAGATTTATCAAAGCTGATGCCACGAATATGTTTCGACCAATACCTAATTACTACAAAGGAGTATGAACCAGGTGTTTTATTTTAGAAATGATCGGTACACGTTCGAAAGGCTGAAAAGTTAATCGAGTACGTTCGATTACTTTCATGGTATCGCGATTAGAATTCAAGGATTAGATCGAGTATGCGTTTCTAATCTAGGCTATAATTTATAACGACGTCTTAACCTTTCCAGGGTTGACTTTATTAAGACCATGAGAAAATAATTATATCCTACTTTTAATTCTACGTAGTTGTTTTTATATGGAACATTAATCCTCTGCACTCAGGGTTTTTTTTCGTTACAGAAAAATAGCAACTCGAAGATTTTCTGCCATAATCGACGATATTTTTAGAACGGTAAATAAGAAATCGTATGCAAATTGAGACGTAGAATTATTTTACTTCGACATTCCACGCATCGTTGGGTAATTTTAAATTTGATATATTAATTGACATCGATCTTTAGAATCGTTTCTGGAGTGCAAAGAATTAAAAGAGATAAATTATATTGAAAAGAGAAGTCGAGATATTAAAATATTCGAGAAAAATGATAAAATTGCATATCTTTTGAAATCCTGCTTGAATTAACGAGATACTAAATTATTATTCATAAGT